CTCAAAGGCCACCAATGTTGGAATAAATACCCAATACAATTCACAACACATTGATGCAATTCATGAAGACAGTATCTAGTTAATTTCACATGGTCTTACTGATTGCTTTAAACTAATGGACAATATTAATCATTGCAGATTTTTATAGAAACTAAATATTATTACTATTTGTCTGTATTGTACAGGTATAAGGTTTATATTTGGTTGTAACAGCGCTTCACTTTTAAACAACACAACATTTTATATTAATTTCTGTGGCACAGATGTGAACAATTTGTCGCTGTCCAAACATGTGACCTTGGCTCTACCTTACTCCTGCCCTGCCATTGATGTAGGATTAAGTCAGTGTCACTTGTATATTTATTGTTGACAATTCCCATTGTGCTCCCCTACCCCACCCCCTCGGGCTTTACCCCTAGGGGGTGACCCAACCTCCAAACAATTATCTCCCCTGACCCACTCTCTGTTCCTCCCGGCCAGGATCCACTAACGTGCTCTTCATCACAATAGCCGCCTCCACACCTATGTAATCTCATTCTTATATGCTCTTTTGTAATCAAATACATTTGCACACCTCTCTATGCCCCCATTACATGGAACAATTCAAAGATCGAGGCAGTCTTTTTTCTTTGATGGTTCTTTTCTTCCTTTGTTAAACGACCCAGAAAGCTATGGGTGTGCATGTTATTTGCTAATTAACGGTGGTACGTCTTGATGGGGTTTTGATGTTGCTAATCTCTGCACCTCAAATAGGTCTTGGTCACATATCACCTTTGCTTGTGCATATCAAAGTCTCATTATATGACCTCATTACAGGTAGGGGGTTTCATCAGGCTGAAAAGGAAATTTAGAGATTAAAGAATGTTGCCCTTCATTTACCTTTGATCTTTTCTGTTTTATATTTGCTATTCAGTTTTGGGGAGTTCACTATGGGCACACTTCGAGATTTGTTTCCTTACAGTTTTCTGCTCGTTTTTGTCAGATGAAGATGAGTATAAAAATGTAGCTGACTAAAAAGAACACCCGAATGCAAACCCTTGTATCTGTGATTAAAATTAGAGTGCTGTTATTTAACTGATTTGCTGGTGTCGATACAGCTCAAGAACTATGTATTCCATAGATATGTTGTAAATAAATTGCATCTAATATGTACTACTCAGCATTGTCATACAAAGATATAATTACACTTTAATTATGTTATGTTTCAAGATATTGCTTTAAATCTTTAAAAGAAACCATTTGATTATGAAAATGCCCAGAAAACTGTTCGACAGATGCATCAATAAGTATAGCTGAAAGTCAATTAACATCATATGGAATGGTTTTAATTGCTGGTCCAAGGGGGTTTAAAAGATCAAAGGATTGTTTTCCTTTGGTATCAGTAACTATGGCAACTTGAATTGAACCAAATCCATGCCACTCATCTGACCTTTTCACACTTGACCTCTGAATTCTACAGGTGTTTTACAAATGTCCCAATCTAAGCCAACTAGACAATAGGCAGGAATAGTGTGTAGTAGTGTTATAATACAACCCAGACTGACAGGGCTGTGTTGCCTATTTTTCTTCGTTTATATTTTCTTTCCTTGTCCCTGTTACAGATTTGACACTGAGGGTAGTACTTGGCCAAAAGATAAAATACAATACAACTTAAGAAACCACAAGCAAGGTTGTTGAATGAGTTCCAGAAACTACTTTGAAACAGAAACATCATTATGCAACACTATTAGTAAGATTCATCTTAGAGGTACGGAATTTATGGTTTAAACATAATATTTTGTGTAACTGCATTGGTAAAAATGTCTTGCTCTAGTAATACAATAAATCACAAATGAAAAAATGCAATCAAAGTAGAAATACATAGTAGGTGATGGTAGGTGATAGATAATACCAGTGTATGATGGAGGTGTGTTGGGTATGAGGAATAAGCTTTATATTCATATACATTTTTGTGACCAATTGTAAATCTTTTTGTCTGTTTAATGCAATCTTTTAATTAACATCTGTGGTTTCTAAGGAATCTCTGCATAGTACAGAAGTGAGGTTAAATCCCATGGTATAGAAGTATGAATTTGATCTCGTGGTGTTTTAATTGATATTATGGACTCAAATTCTCAAATGTGACTTTGACATAGATACTCTCAATCTGTACTTCCCATAAATAGGTTTAATATAGTGACATTAAAACATAAATTTAATTTAAAATAAAGAATTATTGCACATATTAAATCATGGCCACTAAGCTCCAGAAATATATATATACTAAAAGACATTAGCTCGTTCATGGTATAACATCCACTTGACATACACCTTACCCTGTTGGAAGCTGCAGTGGTTAGATGGCTAACTTTGTGTGCTGGCAATTAGGTGCCTGACTCGGAGGGTGTGGGTTCAAATCCCAGATGGGACTCAACCCAACAAAAGTACTAGAATCTGTACTTTACTGAGAAAGTGTAATCCCAAATATAACATATGTTACCTCATTGGCTTGTGCTACAAGCCATACGTCTTTGAGTGAGGTTTTTTCACTCTCTTCATTTTGTATTTTATGGTCTATGTGAGAACCTTTTAACAATATTCACCTACTTCTAAACTTCCAAACACATTTCAAGATAATAATGTTAAGAACATTATCTCTCAGAAGTTATGATATATAATTATGTACCATTTATATGTCATAATTCTGAAGTAAATCTGCATGTATTCACATCAAGAAACATTTGCCCTAAAATTGAACGTAGGTGGTCCAAAACTGTTTTTTAATTATTTTTCAATTCCCAAGGGGAGACTACCCTGCTTGTCATTTCCTTCCTGTCTCCACATGTATGATATCTTTTTTCCGGTAGCTTCTGAACTTCCGTAAAACCCTAATGAAAGTACAATTTGCGAAATACCACTATAAGATAATTAATTGGGTGTTTTGTCCACCATTTCTTACAAGCAGCAATGGTATAATCACATGCATTTGACCTAACTGAAAAATAAAGTCCATATCCTCAGTGTTTCAAAAGTCATCCTGTAGTTTTGTAATTTCAGGTTTCTTTGACAGCCAAATAAAACAACTCTAAGGGGAAATAATTCTGTATAGTTAGATGTACGCTTTTCTAATTTCTATTTCCCCACTGACATAGTTATAGTGGTCTCAGTAGAGTGAGTGAGTGGGGAGTGAGTTGGGTTCACTTTTAATCAATATCACAACAGGGGACACCATAAGCGGGCCGTAGACCACAGAACATCTTCCTCATGTCCAACATCTGTTGGCTTGTCAGCCTGGTTTGGATTGTGTAGTAATCATATGAATCACAGTGAATTTGATCTTTCCTCGTAAGGTATTCAAGCAGTTTATATTATTGAAATGGTATTGACAGATCTGTTGGTTCTTGTAGGAGTTATGTGTGTTTTGGAGTGGACTAGTCTCAGGTAATAGACCCATGAAGCAAGTTAAATAAAAGTCTTTCTAACATCACTTTATCCGCTAAGATTAGTCTGTCATCCAGAACCTGGAACAAATATGTCCAGTACAGTTGATGCAAGTCTATAACAGTCATAATTAGTGCAGTCTGTGAAAATGAAGAAAGTCTCTTGGGTTTATTAAGATAATCTAACAACTTTTCCTACTGTATTTATGTCTTTGATTTCAGAAACTAGATGTTAGTCTGCGCTATGATAGAGATTCAGCTGAACAGTTTATCTTTACCCAATTACACTGACAAATGTCCTCCCACATGGGACTAATATGCATCAAGAGATCATAGCGTCCAGGGACGTGAGCGTGGATAGTTTCTCTATAAATGAGCAAGACTGAAACAGATTCAAGCTCACTGTCATCTCTGATTACAAAGGTTTCACCCCCACTTCAGTCTCTGTTCAAGGTCAGACACAAACACTAGCTGGCTAATCCTGAAACTAGTGAAATTCTGAAATGAGGGATTATTTACTCCCAATTTAGTTTTGTTACATAAACCCCAATGACTTCATGGTGTCTAGCACTGCAGCTACAAGCTGACACAAATATTCATTAAACAAAATGCTCATGTGTAGGAAAAGGAAATTAAAACTACTTTTGTCTTTTAGATTTATGTTGCTATGCTTCCTGAATCAAGAGGTTTTACCTGAGATTCTTCTTTTGAATGTTGTACAATCCAACACTCATTACAGTGACCAGAACCCCAAATTAAACCTGATCTTTTCATTTAGGACTTTCAGATTTTCAGGTTGATATGCTCCCTAACTTCAGAAGTTATAAATACCCATGATTCTGTTTTTGAATGAAGTTAAACAATGTTCAATGCAACACTAATTACACAAAACAGTATAATTACATTCTGTATCCCCCAGCCCTGTGAACCCAGTTCCCCTAAATTCCTTTGTCCCTCCAGCCATGGCTAGCTGTACACATTGGGCTGTAGTGATTTATTAGCTACATTGGTGGCATTGCATAACCTATACAGTAAAACCTGGCCCCTTACAGCCTGTGACACAAGGTGATGTAACCCTATTTAGCTGCCTCCCTTATCTTCCTCTCCCCAGGTCTTCATGTAGTAAAACCCTTTGTCCCTCTCTGATCATGCCTCCTGGCTCCAGGGCATGTGGATACTATTTGCCTCACAACTACTTGTAAATTCATTACTGAATCTTTATAGCCCTGCTTTAACAATTGTGTACAGTTGTGTAAATAATTTATCATGGTTGCATGTTGGACAAATTGAAGCAGTATAATTTATAGCTGAAGACTTTATTAAAGGGTAGTCGGCAGATGACTTTATTGAACCTGTAAACAGCTGAATAACTGATGTGTGCTTGAAAACGATAGAATAGATTTTTAGGAAATTAAGGTATTAATTATTTAACATGAGAATTTATTTTCGAATAATGTCCTGTAGAGTACCTATGTTAAATTACTTTGGATTGCTAAATGGCTAATAGTCAAAATGATAAATCAGAAATTGATTCTTGGGAGATTAGGAACATATTCTGAATTGTGTTTGCATTTCTTCCAGTGGCTGTGAAATCACTTCAACATCTGTGTCGGCTGGTGGTCCGACATGAGCTCCACAAACAAAGACGTCTGTCTCAAGTTGACCGTCTGGCTTTACCAAAGTTTCTCAAGGATTATCTTGCCTTTGTATAGACAGCAATAACCGGAGACAGCCTAGTATAAATCACAACTTTACAGTGGAGATGCCTTTACATGTGTACACTGCACCAACATAGGATGATCTCATGTGTTCGTTACTGACGCTGCGGTACACAAAAACACTGGAATACAAATCTGGACAGGTTTCATGCAGAACCTTATGTGGATCCCAGTCCATGATTATACCTGTAAATATTCTTCCACAGAAGAAATAAATAAATTGACCCTTACAAAGTTTCTTATACAGGGAAAAATGCTTGGTCCTGTTAACAATGCTAAACCACCAGTATTCTGTGAACTGAACTTTTCCACCTGGTGATGTAGTGTCTTGTAGCTGTAAATCAAACAGTACTTAACGTTCCTGAAGGTCTCGGAACTGAGAAATAGCCTTTTCTGTTTCACAACAACAAACCACATCTTTTGTTCATATGTACTGATATTTATTTTGAACTATTATTTACATACTTATAGTACAGTGCATCTTCAAGAGCACATGAACATCGTTTGAAGGATATGTTGACGTGTTTGTCAAAACCAATATCAGAATAACACTCTGCTCGAGTCCATGTAACAAATGCTTTATACATGTATGTACAAAACCCTTCAAGGGGATTATATACAATCTGGTATATATAAAATAAAAACAGATAATGTACAGTGTAGAATGGAATACAGGAATCATTCCCTTCAAAATAATCAGAAGTGTTTGGGAATGGCACAAAATTCGCTTCTGTTTTTGGCATTAAATATTTAATTTTCTACCATGATGATCTGGGTATATGAAATGGGTGAATTTAGGATAAAACATCCTTTCACATTCCTAATATAGTGGAATTACTTACGAGGTGAGATGTATGACCAAGATAACATTAAAAATATATATTCAAATACAGCTTAACAAATAAATGAATTGTGATGTCAGATGTCTGAGAAATTTAAATTTAGCTTGAAAAATTGTTTTGTTTAGTAATGTAATTTTTTTTCTTATTTGGCGTGGGGTAGGGGGGTTGAGGGAAGTTTATAAAAGAATGAAGTGAAATAATATGTTGTCTTGAAGAGACTAGAGCGGGCTAATTGCCCCTAAATGACAAAGTGAAAGATCAGCAGCTATACACTGATATGTCCATACATGAGGTAAGAGAAAACAACATCAATACAGATATTTAAAAAAGAAAAATATAAAAATACAAAAAAATCTTGATTGCATAAATTAGGCTTAAGTGAAATCTTTCACAAATACTTTTCCATCCATACTAAACAATATACTAATTGTGTACTACAAATACTTAACTACATTCTTTGGAGAACACCATTTCTTAAAAATGAGCAGAGAAGAAAATGTGAGCAAGTGTTAGAAAGGACTGAAAACATCTAACCTATGAGCTGATTTAAATTGAAGCAACTTCAGCATTTAGTTATTATGCATTCAGTGACTGCACTATCTACAGAATGAGCACTAGATGGTGTAGGCTGTCTACACCTGAGCACAATTGCACAGATCCCTTACTGAAAGTTTCAAACTCATTTTTATTAAGTTTCATCTAACTTTTAATAAAGTTTCCTCAAACTGTCAATACAGATTTGGTATAGAATCACATGAGCAAGATTTGTACAAGGCGTGTTCAGAATATAGGGAATATTGTCATCTCTAGTATTATTCTGCTACTATATCTGTTATGATCTGTAAGTGATCTATGTGTATGAGCATCTAACCGACACCTCTGAGTATTCTTCATCTATGATCATTACAGTGATATATAACGTACATACATTTCTTCATAACCATAAATATTGACATCATTGAAACTGGATATTTAAAAATAGTTGTTTATATTTTGTTGATTTTTTTGCATACAAAATTAATTGTATTCATGATTATGAATAATATTCTGTTTCCATTCTCCATGTTGCACACTGAGCACTTTCGGCTGATGGGTTTGATTGACATAACAATGCATCAATGCTGCCTCTTTAACAAACAACGACAAAAATAATAGACCATAGACCGTCAATATCAGTCTGACAGCTGGTCGAAACTCAAGACAGCGTTAATTCCAAAGACACACAGCAAAACTGGAAATTCACATTCCATGGTGTTGAGTGGATAGTATGAAGAGATCAGAAATAGAGGAATAAATAAGGATTTTCACAGTATCACAAGGACAAATTGTGTTCAGTATCCATGAAGAAGAAATGCAAGAATCAAGAGAACACAGTTGACCACACAGTATGTCACATGCATTATGGAATGACATTATTCCAACGAGTGAAATGTTTTGGCACTTGTAATATCACTCTGGTCGTTCGTCTGTCGGTGAAAGGATGGTCAGGTGACCATCCAAAGAGCACTTTTGATTGGCAGTGATGAAAACGAGCACCAATTTGATTGGCTAGGCCGCCCGTTTGTCCGAATGTGTCGGTGCTATCGTGTGCACTTCATCTGTGACTTGGCGGAAGCACTGTAACCATTGGCGCTTATCATGTTCATCGTTGGCAAGGAGAGTGTGTGACTGGCCCTTTGTGCTGTCCTTGAATGAAACTTTGAAGACATTCCGTACTGAAATAGAAAATGGTCAAATTGTAACCACATTGTTTGTGAAGAATTTGCTTGAAAATGGTGAGCAAAAATATACACATGACTGGCGAGAATTTATGGATGTCAACTTCTTTATTTGAGGAACACAACGTTTTAGAGTATATTCTTACTCCTTCATCAGGTGAATGAAAAACTAAGAAACAGATAGCAATGTGAACAGATGTTTTTGAAATTTTGTTTAAATAACTTCAAGACATAAAAGATATGATGAGACCACAGTTGACAAGTCCCTTCTCCAGACACGTACCTGTTTGTGACTGACTGAAGGCGGACCTGAAAGACCCCATCTTGATCTCTGTCTCCATGAGGTCCTCCACTACAAGGTCCTCCACTGGAATAGGCTGGCGGTACACCTGGTACATCCGAGACCCGTACTGGTTCGTGACACGAGTCGGTACCAGCACCTTGTCAAACAGGAACAAGTGCAGTTTCTGCAGAGAGAAGAGAAAAGAATTTAGTATGAGCATTGACACATGATGTGAACTAAATCGGTATATACAAGCCCTAGAGTTTATCATCATTTGGCTATTTAGGTTAATGAGTATAAGATTGGTATTTTCCCAGTTTGATGATTTGTGGACTTTGTTGTCACTGTCATCTCAGACACAGGATATGAACAAAGTAGCAATAGCTTGATTATAATGATTAAAACAGGAAAGGATTAATATTTTGTGGTGGATTTCCATTGACAATTCTTCTGATGAATATTATGCAGATATTAATTGAAACTATTCCATAGTGAACAAGCTAAATTGGATTTGAAAACTTACGCTTCCTTTGTTGTTCTTAAGGACTCCATTACAGATGAGGCTGTGAGAGTCATCGATCTCCGGTAGTTTCTGATCATCATAGATGTAGGTGAGACGTGACTGGTAGTAGCTGCATTTAGCCTCTCCTGTCTTCTTGTCGGCCTCAGCGATGTAGAACTCTGCCAACTTTATCTGAAGAACAACGACGGGACAATCAGTACCCTGTGACATTGGTCGTGTAAACACTGGGTCAATACTAATGCCAACTTTATGTTAATTATTCTTCAAAAGAGAATAGGTAGAAAGTTTACCAGATAAAATATTTGATTACTTACAGCTTCCTGAAGGTAACCAGCATCTTCATGATCTTCTGGTGTCTAGTAAAACAGAAAAACACAATAATATAAATAAACAGTGTCACAAGTCACCGGATGTATCAAAGATTTAAGATACTATTTTAAGTTCATAAATATGTAATAAATTTAAGATAATATTGTACTGTCATAAAAATATATCTTAATAAATTTACATTACTGTTACGAATGTTATTAAATTTTCACATGTGTCTTCAATTTAGGACATATATTTGGTACTGAATCATAAACCCATAGTAATACTTACATATTTGAGAATGCTTCTGATCAGCAATGGGTATTTGACAAATCGGCTCCTAGCTCCATCCAGAAGGCTCCACAAGTCCAGCTTGCGACTGAAAGGAGACTCCTGGCACCTCTCCAGGAAATCGTCAACAGCCGGGTCAGTCTTCTTCTCGTCCAGGAGTGCTTTACCAAACACCTGGTTGGCACAGAACTCGATATACGCATCCAAGGACGAAATCTGAGAATAAGGGAAATATAAAAATAAAATCATTACATTTAATCAATTTCAAACAGCGCAAATATTTGTAATGAATTTTCCAAGTGTTCAATAATTTAATGGGTTTGTCAATTTACAGAGATAAAACCATTTGAATTTTTTTCCCCATTCTTACCCATTCCAGAACTTCCCCCTCCAATGCCCTGTGTTGTTCCATCAGGTAGCCTATGTTTCTGAAGGCGGGATACTAAATCTGAAAATACAAAAATTCAAATGTAAAGGATGTGTACGAAAAATAACCTCTACCATATCCTAAAGTGCTGTATAAGGAACAGTTTGATAATTATCACTATATTCTCATAACCATCAATGTGTCTCACCTTCATGCACCTGAGGTAGGGACTTGATGGGTCCAAATATCTGCTTGAGTTCTCCTGCAGTCATTAACTGAAGCTTGGCCATTGACTCATTGTAGTTCTGAAAGTTATATATTATAAATATAATTATAATTATAAATGAAATGTTTACTGTACACTACACCATGTATCAACAAACCCTCAACCTGACGTCAATAGCCAATGGCAACACCTGTTACCACAATCAGCTGTGCAATATACGTCAATACATACCAGTGTTACATACGTTATGATGTATATGACAAGTGGTTTCATTTTCATGAATGATTGTTATCACAATATAATTACAAACAACTGCATACACACTTTCATATATTTCTGACGCTTGTGCTTTTCTATGGTGCAAACATGTTGATAATTATGTGACGTAATTTTTATCGATTCTCACCTTCTGGACATTGTTCAAATCCTCAATAATATCTTGCTCTCCTTGATACAGCTCATAGATGGCCTGGAAGAAATAAAACTTGATTAAACATTTTTTTAAACTCAGTTGAAAACACATTTTAATAAAATTATGGCTTTCACATTTAAAGCCAGATGTAATATGAACTGGGCAGTCAGTGTCAACAAATTGAACAGATCTTGGATCTTTATTGTTATTACATGGAGCATTATTAGAAAGGTTCACTTATTGGAATTTTAGTAGACTCTGACTTCAGTCTTAAACTAAAACTAAGTCTTTAAATATCAACCAAAAGAAAGGGTGATATGGCTCTAATTCAAAAATAAAATCTAATTAGTTTAAACAACTCATTAGTCAAATAGTCTTTGAATTCAAAGTGCTCTCATCAGAACTGAAGGTCAAAACATTATTTTGTCGTTCAACAATAATACTACAATTTATTTCTCAACCACTCATTTTTTATTGATTTTAGTTGGTTGGGTTAAAGTATGAATTCAAGGTCTAATTACGAATACTGACAAGGTGTCTAGGAGTTTATTTTAATCCTTACCAAGTCAGGTTCTACATATTGAGTTGTAACCCCCACATGTCAGGGCCACTCCTCAGAACTCCTTATATGGTCAATGGCATGTATTTTATTCCAGCCTTGTATCAGTTAGACAGGTTAGAGCCCTTCATTCAGTTAACACACAAGCCACCAGCAAGTATTATTGATTCCTTCTGCCATTGCACACTGAAGTGGGTTTCTATATCTAATACACACTGTCAATAATCATTACCGTCACTAGTGTTGCAGTGGGATAATTCTTCAGGGAATTCAATGTAAACGGAAAATTCTCTTTGAACTGCCTACAAGAATCGTGACCAATGATAATGACCCCCCACACATATCCAGACTTTGAAGCATTAAAGAACATCAGTTTCAAATTACAACCGGGACAGGATGAATAAACACACTTAATCAAGTTTTCACACCCAGTATGTAATAAGATAACACATAGAGTAAAATGATATACATGTACAGCTTTTCTAATTGATTGTTTTTAAAGTATTATTTTTTCAAGTCCAGATTTTAAGGGCTGAAAATTCGATGAAAAAGACAGTGAATTTAATCAGTCTAAAAGATATCCTATTCTGACGTAAATGAGATCTGTTGATTGAGTTAGTTCATTAATTTTTCATAAAATCTGGCAAGAATCTAATTTGAATCCTGAAATAGCTCCCTGGAAGCAAGTAACCCAGTTTACAATATCCTTTTCGTGACTTGTACTACAGTTGCTGAGACAACACCAACCGTTTGATACAAAACATGATCAGATTCACTAAATCAAGAAAATCTCTAATAATAACTAAACTATTGAGATAGCAGATTAACAAAATTGGTTTAAGGTACAATGCACAGTGTCCTGATCAATAAATAAAAATAAGTCAGACAGAAATCAATGTTCCAAAATAACCCTGTCGCAGACCATGATCGGTCTATCACAGCCATCAGTTCCTGCTATTCTGATCAAGAATTGTTATAACTTATTGATAGCCTATATAAAGCTTCCACTGTCGCCACAGAAACAAGCACAACAAATCATTAAGATTGTTACAACAACCGCAGTTGTGTAAACTTACCATTATTTTTAAAGCAATCAGTTATCTCAATAAACATAAAGATTTTCTCTGATCAACCTAGCAAAGTCAAAAGGACAAAGAACAAATCAATGCCTTCAATGACAATACAGGAACGATCAATCAGGGATGGTTACTAAAATGCTATATTCTAAACATAACCATTCCTAACTACATGCAATTAATGGGACAATATTACTGGGACAATATAGGTTTAAAAAGGAATATTTTGTTTTAAATAAAAAATGAGTATTAGATTTGGTCATGATGTAAACAGGCTATTTACAACGTTAGGAAAGAGTGATCACTTTAAGTTGAAGACACCCACACAACACTGTCCAAGCTGACTGATCATTCAACTGACACTCTCTAGAGGGGAATAAGCATCAGATTCTACTTCAGTCAAGCCTTGTGTGGGGGATCTATCACTGCCATTAACTTAACAGGATTGTATTTGCAGTTGTATAAGAGGGTGTTATTGAGAATGGAGTGACCATGGGGAATTTGTATTACCCAGGGGGTACATCCAGTTTTTATAGATTTCAGAAAAACAAAGAAAGAAATTAATTTTCTGTTATTTTAAGTTTAACCAGGAATTAAATTTTCTGGAATAATTTTAGTGAAAACTGTTTGCAACTGACAAAAATAAAATCTGAGAAAGGACTTCAAAATATTCTAATAGTCAAATACCCAAGACAGAAAAGTCACTTAGTCAACATAAATATCTCAATAACAGTTTGAATAGTTTTTATTTTTATTGACCAAAATCCAAAATTCCCAAAGTTACTTAGTTTCAGAGTAGCCTTTTTACTTTTTTTCAAATTCAAATATTTTTTTAAAGGTCAAATAAATCATTGTAGTATCATTCCAGTTATATTTTCAACTGACCTCCTGCCTCTTAATGTCCTTGTGAGTGAGGGTATGGTGGTTACCCCCGTCAGCCATCATGTCACTCCAAGTCCGTGTGTGTGAGACGTCGCTTCTCAGGGGAGGGCTGAGGAGCCTTGTAAGGGGACAGGTTCTGTCTGCTGGGGGTGGGGGGAACCTTGAAACGCTGAAAAACAACAAAATATCTGATTGTCAAAAAGTTATCTTCTTAATTCCATTTCACCAGAAACAAAATCATTTCAGATTTGAAGTTTCTCATTTAATTGAAATAAAGCGCCTCTTTTTTCACTTTTTATAGCTTCAATCTAAACTGATGCTTACCTTGCTAGATGTAGATTTGCTTGGAGACAAAAGATTCACGAGTGAAGATACTCTGAGAATAGATCTTCGACTCTTTTTCTGAAAGAAAACAACATCTAATATTTAAATTTGATAAATATGAACAAATAAACGAAAAACAGACAAACATGAAAAGTTTCGAAAAGTTGTGTGAGAGTATTTTTAAAGTTCAGCATGACACTGACAACGTTTGAATAATTTACCTTTGCACTGCAGTGACAGTCTCCACCTATGACAAATAGAGGCCCAGTGCTGGCACAGTAGAAAGACAAATCAGGCTCAAGATGAGCAGCCATCGTTTAAAGCAACCGCTCTCCTACAGTCAGTGTAATAAACTGATCAAGTCATCACAGAGACTTGGATGTTTGTTGGGAGATCAACGCAACAACACTACACCAGCCACTACAATATTGATCTGGCGGAACTCCATCGCTATGTGACGAGGCTATGATCACCGGCAACCTCCTACTCACAAATAGACATTTGTAGCGTCTGTGACGTCACATCACGCTTACAACTACGCTCACAGATGAGCAACAGCGCAGATGTAATAAGCATTTTCATGCTTTTATCACAGTTTTGGAACAATTTTTGATGTGTTTTCAAGGTTGCCTCATGTGTACGGCCTGCTAGTGGTTGTTTGGCAACGTCCATAATAAGCCATATATAGGATGTTGATGTTCATACATTGGCTCCAGATACAGTACGCTCCCATGATTACAAAATCAAAATCAGTGCCATACTGTTTATCCTTTAAAGGCAGGCAAACATGTGTGTATATTTAACTGATCACACACTGCTTGTATCAGTATTGTTAGGACACAATATTAAATAATAACTTGATTTAGACAGTTCATGGGACAAAAACAGGAATCTTAAATTTAAAGCATCTGTTTGCCATTATAGATAGTTATGTTTTATTACTTAGGTTAATGATATTAGTTAGTATAAAACATAAAATTGACTTAAGGTGAATTTCTTAAAATACAAAAAATGATTCAGGCAAAATTTGTTAAATATATGTTCATCTTATTTGAAATGTTCCAGATTTAAATTAATTAGCTGCAATTAGCACAAAGAAGTCATTCAAGCAAATCAATTTCCGATACAACTGATACAATGTACAAACATATCCAGAAAGGTAAACAGCATATTTATATCAGCAGCAAGGAACTGAGTTTGTACAAATATTACATATAATTTTAAAGTCATCTAACCTAAAATAACTTTCATGCAATCAACAACCTATTTTCCTGCACCATAACTCAAGGAAGAACAAAGCCTCTTTGACTAGAGACCATCTGCTTGGGCAAACTTGTTAATGGGGCCTAAAAGACCTGGTACTACTCGTACTAAAAATACCAGTATTACAAACACTCAGGACATTCTTATCCAACATTTCTTTGCAATTTGTATGACGTGTACTTGAGAGGCACAAAATGCTTGCATATCAGGAACCCGATTTAAAAACAGATATTAAAAATAGCTCATTTTATCACAAATATAGAGCAAGCGAACACAGGGATGCCGCTGTAAGGAAGGAACATTGACTACGCAGCGTCTTAGCTGTGATCTGACGTCATGGCCCTGCATCACAGCTTCATATTCAGATCAATACACAATGCCGGTGATAGCGACACAGTCAGAAAGAAGCAAAAGAAGCTGTACGACTTCTGTCATAAACAGCTGACTTCTAAATCAAGATGAGTTTGGTTTGGGAGAGTACACATGAGTAAACAGCTTCAGATCTCGTGTCATCAATGGCCTGAAATAGGTCGTGAACACTGATAGTATGTCGGAGGATCCTATCTCCGGGATTTGGGAGTTCCTGATGTCATACCAATTAAGCTGTTTTCCCACTGAAATTGTTTATACCACTAATTAGACATTAGTTAGAAACTAATGCAATAACATGTGTCAGCTTAGCAAGCTCCACTAAGCTCCAAAACATAGGGTGTGTTCTCCCATTGGAGTTTTTTCACACAAATAACTGACAGTTTTTCTTAAACATCTATGAATTAAACTGTAGCTTACCTTTGTCAATGAAATATCCAAGCTTTGTACACTCAACGCATCATCATCTATCTTCCTCTTCCTCTTTTTCTGAATCAAAGAAAATAAATAACATAAATAATATTTATTTAATAATTTATCTATGAGATAAAACATTACACAATTCTGCTAGCAAGGCTAGGAATGTTTTAGGACTGCCAACTTCACATTAAGTTCTAAAACAGAAAATTTATATTTTTTTTTATTGAAATACCTTACAATAAGCATTCAAGTATATAAGTACTATAAGTACTGATGATGAAATAATGCAACTTACAAAGGGAGGAAGCTCAAACATGGCAGATATTGAGTTCCGTCTGGTACTTCTTTTCTCAGGCATTCTGAAAGACAATTAAAATATATTTATTTCTAAAATATACCAATACAAATCCCTAATTCTACCTTTTCATCATGTATATATGAGACACCTACATAACAAATCCCCAAATTAACAAATGTATTGACGGTGCCCTTTTCAACAAGGTTCACAAGACAAAAAAATAAATAATTTTACTTCTGTTTTACCACAGTACTAAAGTAGTATTGATAAAGACAGGGATCAAGCAGAACCTGAGTATTTATAGCCCTATTTGAATAACAGACACAGACTTCCTTAAAAAGTTTAACATTCTTATTGTCCTCATGATGCTTTAACATTAGAAGGAGAGTGATATCACTGCTAAAATGCATCCCTAAGAAATCCCAAATCGTGCAAATATAGAAAGCACAACAGTAAGTCTTGTAAATCCTTCTAAAAGCATGACTTGATACACTACTGAAACACTCCATATTTTCACATGATGGGGCATCATGACCAGATCACACAGAAGCACATATCACAAGAGGGTATTTCCAACTTACTCCAAAGAGTCAGTGAAATAAAATATTTCAGCCTTGCTGGCCTCACAACATTCAAATTCACAGGTGCCTTGGTTATCCATGTCTTAGTGCAGTTTCTTAATGAATCAAGGTCACTTCTCCCAGAGCCCCTTATAAAGGGCCCTGGCTAGCCCCAGGTCATGTGATAATGGCTGGATGAGCCAATGAAATTGCACTGCACCCTAGGGACCTTGCCCCCTAGTAATTTCCTGTCCTATTACCAGCTTAGCCAACCCTTTGTTATTTGCAAAGGGTCGAGGATTAAGAAATAAGTGTCAATTTTAAGCATTATTGTGCATGAAGACTTGAAATATTTAACATTTTTGAAAAGAAATAATGTTTTTGTTTGAAAGAAGAAGTGGTCATTAACTCTGAGGGACCCTGGACTCAGAACCAGCATTGATAGAGTCTATTTGAAGGGAAACAAACAATAATACTGTTTCATGTTTTCTGGACATAGAAACATAATATCAAAGATTGGGTTTTGAAGGACTATATTCAAAATTAATTGCTTGCACATCGCACAGGATTTTCATTTTACCCTATACTTTCATATACACATTATGTATAAATATGTTAAATCATTCAGCTGATCAAAAATGGTTTAGTTTTATATATTTTTAAAAACTCTAACTGAAATAACTGCTACCTTCCCTCTTGAAAACTCTCCACAATGACAAGTGCATGTGTATTGAATGTTGTTGCCAAATGACAGGTGAAGATGATTTGGAGATTTAACATGTGCTTCCTGACATAATGTGTATTTGGCACACGATTAGGTTGTATATTACAAGCTCTATTAGATGTAGCACACTAACACAGACAAAATATAGGGGGTGGCAGTCAAGTGCTAGAATCAACTATATTATGACATGCATACAAGTTAAAAGGTGTTAACCTAGTACCCATGAAGTAAACACTACAACCTTCACGCCTTAACCATGAAATCCCCGAGAAAGATCAACACACAAATTACATCAACACTATGCCACTGCCTTCAAAGGAGAAATGTTTTTGGAAAGGTGTAAAGTGTCCCTGTTTCAGCCTTTGAGGATATTAATGCTGATTATGCATTTCCAGTTACGGGGTGCCTTTTACTTCTTACAGCCTTTCAAGATTTAGTTAAACCTTCTCGCTTCTAGTCCTCCTAACAAAGAGATTAAAGGCGCAATAAAACAATAGAGTTATTGGAAGGGATTAGTGCCAGCTAAACTAGGTAATCAACCATGAGAGGTTCAGTAGCCCTCTTCCATAAAAACAAAGGGTGCTAATAGGTCCCCCTGACAGCCACCTATATTGCTGTCTATACACCCGGCTCATTCCTGTACTGTGTGGTACTGGACCTGCCAACTTCGAACCAGCCACTGCTGGCCCTATCAAAACACACACCAAACTGCTAATTAGTCTCTTGTTATTTCTATCATGTTTGTATATTATCTGGATTACCACTTCTGAAAAGTTAAATGCTAAACCAACTAATGAGAGTGCTAAAACAACATATTGTATGATTATCTTTAGTAAGAGATATTCTGTCTTTGATAACATTGATTGAGACTTTCATGAGCGCGAGAACTACACAGAACAAAATTTCCAGTAAAACATACATGTTTAGCATGTTTTGTCACTTTTAGCTTGATTACTGTGTAAAAATCTACATGTAAATGTCGCTCTGTGCAATAAACAAGAAGTTGTCATCCATAAAGTTGTATGTTTCATTTGACACATGACACATAACACAGGTATGTGATTACAGGTAAGACAGCTACAATGTAATAAGTAACAAACATTTTGGTCATAAAATATATGCAGGAATATTAATGACAATTACTACAATAATGGCTAGAACAATGTACATCATTTTAATTCAGTGATGGCTTTGGTGGATTTTTCAAAAGATTCCCTTCAACTTATCCTGGAGGGCTAAAGAAGATCATTTTTCAAATTTCATTCAGATTTGAACTGGTCTACTGGAATGATACCAATTTTGTCCATGTTTAAGAACTGCTATTTGCATGGGATTTATTCCCAGTTTCATAGTTCGCGAAATACTGTTTAGGACTAATATACAGTGAGTGAGTATGATTTTACGCCGCTTTTAGCAATATTCCAACAATATCACAGCTGGGGACACCAGAAATAGGCTTCACACATTGTGCCCATGTGGGGATTCGAACCCGGGTCTTCGGCGGGACGAGTGGACGCTTTAACCACTAGGCTACCCCACCGCCCCCATACTAATATACAGAACATATCAGAAAGAAAAAAACCTTATTGATGTGGATTTATCTAGAATTCCAAACAAGCAGGCAAATTGAGATAAAAATATTACTTGGTTTACTTATTTCAGTAACAGATGTGCATTCAGTATATTAAAAAGAAACTTTTGGTCTTATGATCAGTGACAAATACAAGTTACCTCTACAAAGATATAACATTAGTAGTAATAGTAATTAAGACTTACATTAATAACAGACTCATCTTATTTCTAATTAAGACACAAGGATCCTTAACATAGTTTTAGAAACAAACAAGAACATGTTTACATTTCTTCTATAAATTCCCCATCAACTGTTCATGATTTACAGGAAATGTCAATACTAAACAGATATTAGAACTGCATCCCAGTTTTGCGTGACTGGCCATAAGCAAAGGGACTGGTTGCATAATGACACCCCCCTGGCCACGTTTTACTGCTTGTTACATGTGGCTGGGGTGGTATCTATGGGTCTCAGCAGGAAATCCTCTCAGTCACAGATATATGGAGGCAGTCTTTGCATCAGATGTAACAGGTGAACACTTGCCTCATTACCACTTTCTTGATACTAACACCCATAGTAACAGGATCTTTCACACAACTTGGGGGAGGTAAGAAGTGGAATGAAGCTGAGATACATACTTAAAATTTAGTATATGTAACTGGACTAGCTGAAGGATGTGATGCATTAACTGTTGGTCATTTATTGTGATTTTTCCTGGTACCTAAACTAAGACTTAGTCTCATTTACTAGGATGAACTTGGTTAAGTAGATTGGTTTGTTGCTTATAATGCTGCACTCAGCAGTATTCCAGTTACATGTAATTATTAATTGAGTCTGGACCGAACAATCTAATGACAGTTGGGATATGTGGTTAATGTTACTGTGGGCAGATCTAGATAAGGTTCGAAGGTTCTGTTTTTTATATTTTATTACACACTTTAGAGTGAATCTCCTATTACCAGTGGTAAAACAGTTCTTGCCACTTGCTGCTACTTTGACTTTAGCCGAGAGCCGCAATGCGGTCCTATACAGTCAAGACATGGTCATGGTCATGACTTGACTGTATATAGGACCGCACCGTGGCTCTCGGCTACTTTGACATCAGATGCAATGTGTCTTCCTAAATTTTGTGTTGATAATTGGACATCTCCAAGATATGTAAGTTCTATCTATAGACTGTGCTTAAAATTAAACATGGGACTCAAAACAAGAAATCAATCGTCTAGACCATAGAGATTAGGGTTATGTTTAAAAATGACAGCAGCATTTTCTTCACATTTAGGAACTGCTTTTCCCTTGATACTTCCCATGTAAAATACATATTCACACTATCAATTAGATGAAAGCCTAATTCATTGAAACATTCTGTGAATCTATGGTTATCTTATTATCAAAGATCGCGTTTGAAGGAAGTGGTTGAATGGATAACCTGGACAGTGGCCACTCGGGCAGCCAAACAACAAATTTGGTCGGTTAGAACCGGAAGTCTAAAAACTTCATTATTATTTTCAAACAAGAAACAGACAGACCAATGTAAAAAAATACTGAAACTTGATATGGGGTCAGTTGCACACTGCACACATCGGCAGTACACGTAGCCTAAGCACATACATTCTGGAAAATGGATAACACGAGCATGTCATCGGTTAGCCGGTTGACAGTCAACACTAAACTTGATCCACGACGTGGGATCGTCACATCAAATCAAGTTATGTCTTTACCTGAACACGTTTTCTTCATCCATGATGTTATATGCTTCACAACTGGATATCTATTTACACTTTGGCGATCTGATCCAATACTATCGATGTTTAAATACTGTAAATTAAGAAGGTAATCAACGAAACAACTTCAAATCACATCAACAAGGTGCTTTGAATATGGCGGCGAATGCTACAATTTTTGTTTTTTAGCCAATCAGATTGCAGGAAATCGTGTTTACGAGTTACCTCCCTTAGAATGTTTGGCATACCGCACATGACAAGCGAAGTGTCAAATTTCATAGCGGTGCTCCCCGTCATCATGTGAGTTGAAGTGATTGACCGTTGTCATGCTCGTTACGCATTAGTGATTGTACGGTATAAGAAGACAAAGGAATGATGAGTAGCCTAGTATTGAAATAGACAGTGTTTGTACGTTTAATGGAGTAGTCGTAACCTTTGTTTTATCAGAGAATGATTATTTGACACGTGAAACTACAAGATGTTTGTAGAAGATAGTTAGTCGTCTTCATTTCTCGGATCTGATGTAACCACTCTGGGTGCGGGAAATTTGGTTTAAACAATAATTCCACCTTGCGGCATTTAAAAATAGTCTAGTTTATTTTATTAGCGTGTGACCTTAAAAACATTTAATTAAGCGATATGTATAATTTTATTATATATCAAATATAATATCTTCGGCATATAAAACAGGTTTGTTCAAAGAGATAATTATTCTTAATACTGTTCAATAAATAAATAAGTCTTTCCTATAATTTGTCTTGTGTCTTTATTCCACGCATCGGAACTAGCGCAGTAATAGGCGTGATGATGATAGTCGTATATAATTGACACTTCCAACAAATATCAACGAGACAGAAAATTGAAACGAGTTCAGAAATAGTTCGATAATTTTCGCGTACTACACAGATAACCCAGCCGGTGTTTATACAGCTGAACGTCGGCGCTCCGAGAGTAATAAGATAGGTGGGCGTGACAGGATTGCAATAACCCGAGGTGTGAGGACTCCGACTGAACTCCTACACCATGCACCACGTCGTTTACACCTGTCGACAGCGGGTGGGATGCACGATAATTACAAGGCTGCGTAAACCCTTGATGTTGTGTAATGATAAGGTTGCGTAATGTAGGATGGATATCACGGACGATCTGAGGGCTTAGGATATATTTCTAAATACCGACCTCCCGTAGTCCGTCATATATACAGACCTTGAAACCGATTTATCCAATACAGCCGATGCAAGTCTATAGTATCGGGCACGTGTGGATTACTGCAGTTCCTGAAAATAGAGTCCCTGGACTCCTTTTGATTATACTTAATTAAGATAATTTAAATACTGTTTTCCTTTGAAACATTTATTTCAACAAAGCCGTAGATAGAACATATTTACGTCAGTTCCTGAAAATGGAGAAAATCTCAAGGCTCCTTTTATTAATATAACCAGGGAGAGTATATAACTATATAGTCTATACAGACTATATATATATATATGTTGTAGATTATCCCTGATATAACTTAAGACCCGGTGTTTTGGTTTTTCGTTGTAAGATATGTTCGTTTTAAAGACTATCTATAGATGTAAGTCTAATTAGCTGTAAACTGTTAAATTCATAATGAACATTGGTGATAAACACGTTGTTGTCTCATGTGAATACTTTTCCATTACAAACACATATTTCTAACAGAAATACAATCAGCTAAATGTAAACAAGACAGTTTGACAGTTACGTGTAATATAGACATTTAACTAAATACTTCATCATTCAATAAGTGTGAATGGTGTGAACAAAGATGTTGATTGCATGACAGCAACGAGTTTCTGCGAAGTACTGTAACCAGGCGTTATCTGTTTTATAGTCATAAGTTGTAGTTCTACGGATAGCACCAATAATGCCTTGTTTCAAGAGGAGTTTTGTTAGCATTGGTTGTGTCTTCACAGATTGTCAAGTACTGCAGCTTCCTTTAATGTGTTTCAACAGGATGATGTTGTTTGGTTTCTTTCTATCTGCAATGTTTCACAACATGATTGCAATAACATATCTTACTGTGCTAATTCTTCTCCATACTTTAATTTATTGCATATCATCAAAACACGGAAAAAGCGCAGATTCATCATTTAGAACACCCGTATATTATATATGTGTTTCTCATCACTAACTTCAACCACCAAGAGAGCGGTCGGGCGAAAAGAAAACATGCTTTCCAATAACTCTGTGACTTATTTGATAAAATTTGAACGTTTATATTACTTGGTAATTGTGTTTACGTTTTACGTTTTCTGTAGATCGAGATGTTCTTTGGAAGACTATTTTGATAAATCAAGATGGCGAAAGATCAAGCTGACCTGGTATTTTTACGAGTGGTCAAGGGTAAAAGTAGGTTTTCATCACACATCGGGGCATAAATTTCCACACGAGCGAAAAAAATGAGTTAAGAAAACATGTATCATATCACGTCAAAATGGAAATTCTTAGCGGCCGGGAGTTTGGAAAAACAAAAAGAAATACCGACAGCCAAAGAATACATTGTTGATTCTGATGATAAGATATATGTTTTAGCGATATGCCATATATAGCTGTGTTCTCTGATATAACTTTAATCATGATGCACTTGCAATTCATTTTTCAAACCCTTCCAAATATTTGCTGGTTCCAGTCGTCGTGAGACCATGGAAAATATACGAACTTTGCGTGTCGTGAGATATATTTTTGAGACGCTTCAAATGATTACCACATGAAAAACCATGTTGGTTGTGTTCATGGAGTATTTGCAGGCGAAAAAAGGTCACCAGTGTTATTTTTTGTTAGAGGCATATATGACGTGCAAATTTTAATTTATGGAACTAAAATCGATGTACACAGATTAAGTGCACTTAAACTGAATAGATTGAAAACTGTTTTCAATTTTTAAACTGAATTCTGTATATCATTATCCATATAGTTATTGCATGTAGTATACATATGTATGTATGTGCGCAATGGGTACTCATTAGGATACAAACGTGTTGTGTAGCCACTTTTCATGGCAGAATAAACGCTTCATAGAATAGATCTTTGAAAGAACTTCTAAATAACAGTTAAAATTATTTATTTATTTATTTATTTATTTATTTATTTATTTATTTATTTATTTATTTATTTATTTATTTATTTATTTATTTATTTATTTATTTATTTATTTATTTATTTATTTATAGATGTAATTACGTAATTAAGATGACATCAATCTACTGTTGTTTCACGTGACATGTAAACTCATCAGCTACCGCCACTTGGTGTATATGTCATGCTCAGTATTTGTAGTGCTGATTGCGTTGAGTTATACTTATGTTTAGGTGGCACGGGCGCCGGGTAATCATGATGTATATTCGGGTGAGTGACAGCGAGTTAGTGGCGACGGAGGAGAGCCGTGTTTGTCTGGCTTGATGTTGTGTCTGCTGAGGCCGACCCACACATGTCTACAAGCCAAACATGTCACGTACGTGTGATGTTTGTTGATATATATTGCTATAATTTGTACACAAAGCTCACTGAATGACAGGTAGCTGTGACACCGTGTACTATCCAAATAGCTCATGTAAACAAGGCCTCAAAAGACGAAATAGATACATGTAATTTTCACCAGCATTAGCAAACGACAAAATAAAATAGAATAAAAATGGGAAATAATATTTCTTTCAATATTCGGACTCTGAATGCATGCGATAGCTTGAGTGTTTTGTATGTAATCTGTAAATACAGATGTAATGGTTTATTATATAGCCACAGCGATTGTTTTCTTAAAACATATAACACATTGGTCTTGCTAATAAGTCCATGAACGTGATTATGTTAAGCTATAATGTACAGGCGCATCTGTCACTATGTTCAAGCCCCCTTAAACCAGATGCTATTAAGGTTTTTTTAATTATAGCTTTAATTTACAACGTGACAGTTAAAGCCATTTAAACCTCACGTTTTAGAGTGAAGTTTTATTCATAATATAATGAGTTCACTGTGCATGTACAGGTGAATCAAGACTGCCGTGCCAACACGGGCATAAACGTGGTAATATAGTGTATATTGTAGGAGCGCTTCAGACACTATCTTCACCCTCCTAAAACAACCACTGGGCTACCCCACAACCCAGTCCCCTCTTAAGACCAGCATAGGTTACTGTGGGCCAATTCGGACCCAGGATCCACACAGGGATGTTTCTCAACTGTATCTAACTATTGAACTGTACATGCGTTTTCAATATCTACTTCAGTGATATATCATTTGGAATAGATTGGGAAGAGAACTACGCGCATAGCTAAGTTTTATAGTCCGTAGTGTTACGGTAAAGTGCGTAAATTGACATAGTAAAGCGGACAATGTATCAAGTTATAGAAACCATGACATCGTCTCCTGACTCTCTACATTATAATTATAAACCAGCACCCACATTTGTTTTCATACCAACACACTTCGCATATAACTCCTACTGCATATAAACCTACTTTAAAGGACATAGGGGCGGTGGGGTAGCCTATTTTTAGTGGTTAAAGCGTTCGCTCGTCACGCCGAAGACCAGGAACGATTCCCCACATGGGAACAATGTGTGAAACCCATTTCTGGTGTCCCCGCCGTGATGTTGCTGGAATATTGCTAAAACCATACTCACTCACTCATTCAAAGAACATTATAAGGACCATATGGATGCGCAATATTTCAGCAGAGTGTATCGATAGAATATTTCAACAGAGTGTGTTATTGGAATGTTCGAACAGAATGTTTCAATGAAATACTTCAATAAGATGTTTCTAAAACATATTTCAATAGAATGTTTCAGTATAATATTTCAATAGATTGTTTGGATATAACATTCCAATAAAATCTTTCAAATCAAATGTTTCAATGAAATATTTCAATAGAATGTTTCAACACAATGTGCCGATATTTCAATAGAGTGTTGCGATAGAATGTTTCAATAGAATACTGTATTTCTATGGCTAGTTTGTTATTGCGTTTTCGTTGGCTTCAAATCTACGTCGACACATATAGCACTAAGTTTAGATCATTGTATGGCCTCTTATTTGCACTTCTTAACATCATGTTTGTTGTAAAGGCCACACGGAGCGGTGGGGTAGCCTAGTGGTTAAAGCGTTGGCTCGTCACGCCGAAGACCCGGGTTCGA